TGGCACTCCAGAAAGCGGAACTTCTGTATTCCCAGTTAGCTAACTGGGAAGGAAGCTATGTATTGAGCGAAGCAATTGAGGCTAGCCCGCGAGATGTCGTATATGACAGAGCGAAAGAAGCAGCGCTGAGGCTGGAAAGAAACCTGCATAGAAAGGAAAGCAAGCAGGACAATGATATGCATACCAAAAGGCTTTATGGCAATCTGGCTTCACCGAAACAGTGGTCTGGTTCGGAATCGGCCGCTGTTCATGGTGAAAGAAGAGATAGATTGACCGAGAAAGGCAAAGAGAAAGGTACTCGTTGCTTTTAATTTGGCAAATCAGGGTATAAACCAAGACAGTGCACGCTGCAGAACGCCACAAAGGGCAACGCAGAAAGAACTGAACGATACAAGGCATCTTCGTTCTCAACTACTCTTGATAGGTGGCTATGCGCTACCACAGGTGTCAGGAAGAGTACTGAAGAATTCGTCGGTAAGAAGGTAGCTGTGCCGGCAAAAGTAATGAATATGGAAGTAAACGCACTTATAGACACTGGCTTCGAGGTATCTATAGCACCATTGAAGCTGTTCACGAGGGACAAAGAAGCTGGAGTCGATCTAGATGCTTATGTGGAGAGAATCTCAGAAGTAGTATCTAGTGCTGTGATACGCGATGCTTCTGGCAACAGCCTAGAAATCTTGGACGCAATCAAGATGCCTACGGAATTGTTTGGCAAGTCCAGGAAGATTCCGGTATATGTCACCAGATCATTAGAAAATGATCTGATTTTGGGGACAAATGTCCTATGCAACTTTGGTATAAAAGTGATTCAAAGTGATACCAATAGTGATTTGCTCAGGGACCCAGTCAAAGATCACTTGAATGTAGTAAAATATCGAACTGTTAGACTACTTGGAGGAAACAAGATGAAGGCAAAAGTAGGAAGGAAACCTTTGAAGGGCCAAGAAAGAAATGAAGAAACAAGGCGCACAAAGCGCAGAAAGATGAAGCACGATTCCAAGAATCAAGACGGAATCTTGGACGAACCATTGGCCGATATGAAGCAATCGACGAAAGCTGTGAAGATGCCCAAGCTGAAAAAGAAACAACAGCCAAAGAATAGATTCGTCGATGTCAAACGAATATGCGTAGAACAGCAAGATGAAGCTGATTCCAACGCATCAGCAAGCAAGAATGTTGTGAAAAAACCTAAGAGTGTTAATGCGAAGCGGTATGGAAAAGTGTGCAGATGTACTGGATACCCTCGCGCATTTTGGGATTTTCTTGAAATGATCGACTATGTCAGAGCACATTCCTGCCGAACTAGTCGTACAAGAGAAAAGAGACACAACGGAATCAAACAGAAAGGAGTGGACACTTGTTGCGGTGTCAGAAATCTGGAAGAGGATCGCATGGACAAGGATCGCATGGACAAGGACCGCATGGGCAAGGACCACACGGACAAGGACGCATGGACAAGAATCACATGGGCAAGGACCTTCTGGACAACGACCACAATGAAAAACAACGAAGAAGAAATCAAGATAGATCGTTGTTGTAGTTGTTGTTGTAGTCGTTAAGTGTTAATATTCGTAGTTGTTAAGTGTCAGTAGTTGTAGTTAAGTTTAGTTAGTTTAGGTTAAGTTAAGTTAGGTTAGCTTTTGTTGAGTTTACTAGTTGTTAATAGTCTAATAGTTGTTAATAGTTGTTAATAGTTTAAGTGTCGGGACGCCACTTACGATAAGGGGGGACGTGTAGCCTCCAGGCGCCCGGTCTAGGTTTTTTTTGTCACACTATTAGCCTTGAACCCAACCCATGGGATGTACGAATCACCATATCTCGTGTTTCGGTTCTAAGATGTATAGTTCGTTCCTCAATAGCTTTTCAACAGTTCCTCTATTCACTGTTCCGTATTAGCTCTTCTGCACTACTCTTATTCTCTGTATTTGCATATAAGCTTCTTCTTGTGGTTTGTCATATCTTGTGATAAACCATTTATATTTTACCAGTTGTTCTGCTAAGTGGGTGGAACCTGCGGTCTAGACCGTCCTACCGCCACTAAGCACTGAAGGGGAAAGCAGCGGCCACCTTGAGCTGCATACCCGTCGTTGGAGAGATATCAAAAAGCGATAGAGATTTTGAAGAAACATTTCGATCGTTCTGCCAACATGACAGACATACTCATAAATGAGAGAAAAACTTCCGAGGGCGTCAGACAATCCGAAGAGTTGCCGGGACACCTTCGAAGCAATTAACTCAAGGATCATTTATCTGGAACAGACGGGAATGAAGCTCAATGCAGACAGACTTTGGCGTCGAATAATCTTTTCCAAATTCCCGAATCCATCTGTACGACCGCCATCCAGAAAGAAGCGGTACAAGATGATCCATTTGATGTTAGCGAAATCCTGAACACCATCGACAGCATTATTTCACTGCGAGAGACAATGCCAACAACGGAAGCTCTCTTTCCAACCAACTACCACCCAAACAACCAAGGAAATGAAAGGACTACCAGATACGATAGAGAAGAACACTTTTTGAAACCAAAACGTTTGTGTTTATGTGGACAACCTCATTCTCCTCACACCTGTCAGAGGTACACCGCACCAGAAGCCCGACGACTTGAAGCAACAATTCAAGGAGTGTGTTGGAGATGTTTTGCAAGCGATCACAACTCGAACGCTTGCACGAGTTTCGGTGTGTTTCCCAAATGCAAAGGATCACACCATGGATCTCTTTGCTTGTCAGAAGCAGGAAAACGCAGAGGATTCTCGACGCAATCCTGAGATCCTGCACTTGATCAACATTCACCTGCTCCTTGGTCATCACGTGACATCAGTCAGGATCGTCATGAGGAGAGTAATACGCACGTCGTACAAGGCTCACGACAAGAAGTCCACAATCCCGAAGTGCTTCCACTTGCACAGGATCAATGCATTCTTCAAATTGTTTCGGCAACTATATTCAACGAAGCAGAGTGGGATTACCAGCCACTTACGATACTACTTGACTCCGGTGCACAACGAAGTTTCATCAAATCAGAACTTTGTGAAGAACTCAAGCTTCCAGTCCTTCGTACTATTTCGTTTACTACATCTGGAATGGGCGAACAACAAGAGCAATTCAATTCATCTGAAGTACAAATCACTTTCAAAAGTCTTTACAGCTCCGAGAAGCTCAAGAACTTGTCAGTGCACACTAAGCAGAAGCTGACTACCGACATGTAGACGGCAAGTCTCACGAAAGCAGACTTGCGTTTCATCTCTAACAAGAAGCTGATAATCGCTCAAGATACGCTCTCCTCGAAAAGCGTCTCACCCGATATGATCATAGGACAAGACTTCTAAACCTTGTTACTCTCACAACGACAGAGTGCGTAAGCTTCCTTCGGGCCTCATTCTGACTTCAACCATCTTTGGACACGTTATATCAGGGACGAGCGCCACTGCCACTACATCAAGTTTTGTTGGCACATTCGGCTGCATATCAATGCTGAAGGAAACACTCAGGAACAACCGGCCAACATTTCCACAACACAAAGAGAGATTAAAGAAACCCAAATCGTACTCTCATCTCAACAGTACGAACACACGAACGGGCAACAAGCCATTATCGGCAAAGCAGGATGAAGGAACAAACCAAAGAAGAACGATTCCGTTGCGAACAAAACTACAACCATGCTCTTCATCCAGTCGACAGTCCTGCTTCACAAGGCAAACAGTCACTGCCTCCATTCTTGCTGAAGCTCGAGCAGACAGACAACGGTGGTTGGCCATATACGTTCCATGACGAACTCCAATATTTGTGCCCGATATCGGAAAGAGTGGCTAACGCAGCGGTTCGCAAATAATGAAGCCAAAATAAGGATGATGAATACACCGGAGAGGAGACATCATGAGTACATACATCGCACAAGCACGCCGTCTTTCAGGGATATGGTCATCAATGGATCTACCATCGATTCAGTGTGGAAAAGGAGGAAATGGCGAGGACGACGGGCAGCGCTAAATCGCCCAACAGCTCCAGCGACCACTCCAGGATCTTTTCCCATTATCACTTTATCTAAATGATCGTACTCTTGTGAGTATGTTTGAGTTACTTGCAACTCCTCCTTCATAACTCATTTTTTTGCATGCGTAGGTATTAACTTATTCGCTAGTCAACTTCACATGTATCTGCTACTCTAATTAGGATCTTACCAGATCTCGCTTTCCTCTCGCTAGCCCGGAGTGTTGATGATTTCCGTATCATCAACCATTGAACTCTATATTTTAGATAGCCTAGGGAATCCCCGTAGGCACCACTCACTCAAGAGTGAGTGGTACCCGTGCGCCAGGAGTGTAACCAATCGGCGGCATCTCCTTTCAAGCACCAGCTCCTTTACATTGTACCCTGTACTCGGTCAGCTCCGCCTTCCTTCGTACAGTCTGCTCCAATTGGGAACAGGCCGAACCTCGGCGTAAATTTGCGCGCTCGCAGCGCTGGCGGTCTGCGCTGCATGTGCGCGCTGTCGGAGAGAGCAAAAAGATTGAAGAGAGGGCAGAGAAGCAGGCCGCGGGCGTGACCGTACAACCCTAGCGACGCGGTCTCCCGCCATGCCAATTTTGGCCTGGTTGCGATTGGGGCAGACTGTATATAAGGAGCCTCCGAATGTATTAAAGGTTGCTCCCCGATCCACACCGGGGCACCTCAACTTCTTCACGACTAATCTACGCCCGTGCGAATAAATCTATATTCCACAACCTCGTCTACCCCTAATCATTTGGTACCCACCAAACTGTTCATTCCTTTCCGGGAATGATAGGATTTTTTGCAGAAACTAAACTGAAAGATTTTTTTATCTCGAACGTTAAATTGAAGTGGTTTATTCAGACTCATAATGATATTTACAAGGGAGATTGCTTGGGAACAAATTCGAACTCAGTAGTATCGTACAGATCACGGAAATAACAATTCTTGTCGTATATCTTCTGGGATACTTTGCAAGATTTCTTCAATCATATGCTCCTCTTCCATCACCGTAAAATCTTCATTTGTTCGAATTGCCTAAATTCTATGTTGGAGTACGGTGAGGGTACGGTAGTTGTTCTTGCCTCAATTTCGTCAGCTACTTGACGAGCCAATGGGCTAAGTCTAGTAACTCTTTGCGCTCGGAGATCTTTCTCAACCAATGACAATCTCTCTCTTTCGGCTTCAGCTTCCTCATATTTTTGCTAAAATATAAAAATGTGATAGTAGTAAACTGAAATAATTTTGAAGAAACTTACCAGCAAAATTGGAGGCAAAGATGCTTTCCAAACTTCCAAAGCCCGCTTCATCTCCCCTTTTGTCAGCTTTTCATCCATATTTATCTGAAAATGGACGAGTTCACTCGTTTTTCTGTGATTTTCGGTAGCTAACTTACCTTAAAGTATTCAGCAGCAACATCGTCAGGAGCTTCCAAGAGAAATGGTGGTCTTTCCATTGGAAATATATCAGCTGGAGGATTGAAAGTATCCTCGAGATAGCAGGGAACAGCTGGTTCAAATCGAACTCCAGGATTACAGAGAACTGGAGGAGGGTTCAGTGGTGGAGCTTGGGGGTAGATGACTACCCCCGGATAAGATTCACCGGGTCTTATGTTGCCATTCCTGTCGTCTACGTCATAGATCCAATGGACCATCAACTCGATAGGAACGGGAGAAGGAGTAGCTATGGGGCGGGTGGAGGAAAGAATGGAGTTGGTGTTGAAGTAGGTAGTGGTTCGGCTATGATTCTGAAGGTGAATGGCGGGAAAGTGACGGGAGCTGGCGGCTGAGTATAGTCACCATTATCCGCGTGATGAATGAAGGCCGATTCTGGAAGCACGATGGTATTCAACAGAATCTATATGAATTCAATATCATAAAAAATTTTTTTCAGATAAAAGTATCATAGCAGGTATAAGAATTTACTGAATAATATTAATTTACTGATATCTCTTCTCAGATTTGCCGCCACATGCATAAGGTTGCGGCCAAAGTCGCGGCACGGTTGCGGCGCGGATCCTTCTCGAATGAAAAATTGATAGACGAAGCGGGCTAATATTTACGTAGCTTACTCATAGGACTTTTCATACTTATCAATACTGAATTTTGCTTTATCGTCTACGCAGCTCGTAATTTTCTCCAGTTAATTTTTGTTCTTATAGATACTCACCCTTTTGCTTATTGACATTTTCTGGCCCAGGGCCCAGATCAATCGTTCCTGGCCTAGAGCCCATATCCGTGTTTTCCGGCCTAGAGCCAAAAGTTGGATCCTTCATACGTTTGTGGAAATCCCGAACAGCTTTTGGATCGGGCCAAAAACCATTCGTCGGTGGATCAGCTTGTGGATACGCATTGAATAAGGGAGGTTCTGCAATATGTGGGAGTTTGAATTTTTTATTGTCATTGTGTCATCAAAATCGGTTATCCTAAAGGAAAGCTTACCTTTGGAATTGCTTTCGATCACAGAAGGAGGATGAGTATTAACCTTGAACAGCGGCACCTCTTTGGTTACTGAAATGATGTTCCTAGCGTGTCAAATGCAAAGTAGCAGTGGAATAATTTACAAAGTCTTCCGATAAGAATTTTTATTTTAAACCTATTTTATGCGGTATTCAAGCAAGTTGAAAGATTTCTGTTTTACAAGGCAATCAATTGCTTTCTGCTCCTTTTTAATTACCGTTGAATCTCAGTTGACAGGACAAATGCCATTATATTTTTTACTCACTCTCAGGATTGTTTCCAACACTAGGAGGCATGTCAGAAACATGAGCGTTGTTTATTGAGACTTCCGCAGTAACTGAAGTAATGATATAAGTATAAAAATAATGAAGCTAACATAAAATTTTCTAGTCTTTTCGGCTTTTTAAACCAGAGAGACAACGGCGAAATTACAAACCTTGGACATTGATTCCCAGTGGAGCTGGATCCGAAATGCTGTTATCATTCTGCATTCCAGCTGACCAAAACGATGGCGGAGCTCTAGCACAGCCACCGACAGAGAAACTGTTCGGGGCGCCGTAGGTTTGTAAAGCATTGACGAAGCAGATTATGGAAAGAACCTAAAAGTTAAAATTTATTGATTAGCGCAGAGGAAATTATTTGAACTAATTTGTATATCCTATTGAGTTATGATGAAAAAGCAGAGTTTCAAGTGGTTCGTGCTCCATGTAACATTACCGTGCTGAAGGTCACGGGTTCGATTCCACCCTGAGCCTAATTTCTGCGGCAAAAATTCTGCTCACAATTCCAGCGTCAGGCTGCCCTTTCAAAGAAGGGCATGCGACAAGCCGGCTGAGACACCCCGTCGCATCTACAATGCAGACATGTCTCATAAAGTATTTCGAGTAAAGGCTAGGGCGTCCCCGGAGGCGACGCGCATTCGAGCCCGACGAATGCGAATAGTGGGCGAGGGTTACCGTCCCAGCAAGGTGAACGGGGACGGCTAAAGCGGCTAGTTCACCAGAGGCAACGATCCAAGGCACCGCAGACTCTCCGTCTAGCTACCATCAATATGGGTACACTCACTTCACGTTCTCGAGAGTTAGCAGATCTTCTGAAGAGACGGCGAGTTGACGTAGCCTGCATACAGGAAACGAAGTGGAGCGGGGCAAAGTCACGCGAAATCGGAGATGGATATAAGCTCCTCTATAACGGTGCCACCTGCACCAGAAACGGGGTTGGTATAGCTGTCTCGGAGACTCTAAGGAGCAATATAGTTGGCGTTGAGCGCATAAGCGATCGCCTGATGAGCATCAAGATAGATACTGGGAAACAGGTCCTACGAGTAATCACCGCCTATGCGCCACAAGTTGGATGTAAGGATGATGAGAAACACGCGTTCTGGAAGGAGCTTGATGACCACATCAGTTCAATTCCGCGATTCCACTGGACGAGACACTCCTGCTAGGAGCGGACCTCAACGGACATGTGGGAGAAAGGCGAGAAGCCGGGAAATGTCACGGAGGCCACGGATACGGAACATGCAATGAAGAAGGTGAGCGCATTCTGGAATTCGCCTCAGCTCATGATCTGGTCTTGGCGAACACATACTACATCAAGAAGAATGACCACCTCATCACATATGTAAGTGGAGACCGGCGAACACAGATAGACTTCTGGGCTATCCGACGGCGTGACCTCAAAAACGTAAAGGACTGCAAAGTCATTCCCGGTGAGAGCTGCATACCTCAGCATAGACCACTCCTTCTCGACCTCAGAGTCTCAATCGACAGGCACACCAGGACAGCCACAGAGACCAGGACAAGACGCATCAAATGGTGAGAACTGAAGACCAACAATCAAGCGAAACAAACACTGTCAACAACTCTACCAAGCCTGCAAGAGAACCCAAAGAAATCCTGGGCAAGCTTGAAAGATCGAGTCCACCAAGTGGCACACATGACCCTGGGAAGTACAAAGCCAGGAAAAAGGAGGATTAATCGAGAAACCTGGTGGTGGAATGACGGCGTGCAAAAAGTTACAAAAGAGAAGAGGGAGGCTTACAAGCAATGGCATAAGACGAAATCTGAGGACGATCGCCAGACATACCAACAGGCCAAACACGCTGCGAAGGCTTCTGTAAAGAAGGCAAAACAGGTATACATGAAAGAGCTCTACGATCAACTAAAGTCTCGCGAGGGAGAACGTGAGATATACCAGATAGCGAGAAGAAGAGCGGAATCCACAAAAGATATGGAACACTTTCCTCCATATCAAAGACAAACTTGCTAGGACGCTAAGAAAACCAGAGGACATCACCGAGAGATGGAGAACCTACTTTGAAGAGATGGCTAGCACAAACCGCACCATCAAGTCCATCCCAGAAGCTAGTCCCATAGAAGGACCAGTACCAGCAGTAACGGAAGAAGAAGTATGGCTGGCTGTGAGAAAAACAAATAATGGCAAGGCAACTGGTCCAGACGACATACCAAGCGAATTCTGGAAAATATGTGGACAATCCGGAGCCACATGGCTGACGAGTCTCCTCAATCAAGTCATAAGGAGCAAGAGCATGCCTCACGACTGGTACACCAGCACGACCATCCCGATATGGAAGAACAAAGGAGACATAGCAGATTGCGCATCCTACCGACCAATCCGACTGATGAGCCACACTCTAAAAATCTTCGAGCGAATAATCGAAGCGCGTCTTCGAGATATCATAGAATTGTCACCAATTTGTTAGATAACAGCAAAGATGTAGAATTGGTCGATCAGTGCCTTACTGATTTTTGAGTGCAAATAATACAAAGGATAGTAGGCTTGGGCATTTCAGATAAGACTATGACATATACAAAGACAAATTTTAACGCAAACATGTGCTGCAGAGAGCTGTTCTTATAGGTTTGGTCATTTTTTATGAGGAGCAACTACTAGGTTGTTTCAAAAGTTCACTCCGACTTGCAATTTTCTACTTCAAAAAATATTATAGCTCTTTTCAAGACCAACACTTTTCAATCAAAATTTTGCTGGCTCATGCAAGACGGCTATCATATGTATAGTATGTTATGCGGAAAAGTCAAGTGAAAAAGAGAAAGTTTAGAAGTTTTTGCAAGCTTTCCTTTAAGACCATCTATCTTGACATACTAATGCTCCCACGTAAGGTACATATATGGCTGCCATAGACAAGTAGCCCATACTTCATAGATTATTTAACGGCTAAAAAAATTCAAGTTGTCTTTGCCGCATAAAAGTTTTTAGGAGCAAATAAAAAACATTATTTGAGCTCTTCTCCGCGCGTGCAAGTATACCGACTCTTGGATACTTGATTTTTTCTAATGTCGCGAGTGGTAAACTTTAATTGCCTGATGTGCCCTCCTTGCTCTCGCTTTACTCTAACATAAGCATTATTGAGTACATCACTTATAGCTATGCGTAGACTGCTGTCGCTTGCATGACTTAGCTTGTCTCCAATGTTTGGAAAAAAAATCGAAAAGTAAAACATTTTCTTTGGAGAAAAAGTGTGCGTAGTTTAGTCATTACATTCTTGATCATCATAAAATATTAAATAGGTAACTTTACAAGCACTGCAAAAAATTTCGCTTTAAAAAACTTTCTCTTGAGTATAATTGTATTTTAGTACCTCAATTTCAAGGCTTGAGATCTCCTTACTGGGAAGCTATCTCGTTGAGATTCAGTAAGCCCTGGAAAGAGCGGGAAAAATGTTTCTAGATCTTACTCACAGTACTGCGACAAGAGTAAATCTTTGAGAAAATAGTTGCGTTAAAACAAAACAACTGAGAATCGGATAGAACTTTTGAAACAACCTAGTAAATTTGGTACAAAGTGAAACTACCTCACCTTAGTGAAATACATCGTGATTGTTTCTAAAAGAAGTACGGTGAGTAGCAGCAATCGACGTTCGATCCGAACGTATCCTAAAATGCGGCTCAAACCCATGTTTGTCCATCTGCACGGCCTTGCGCATATCAGCTCCAGCCGTGAAATCGCCTGGGCAAAGCATTTTGACCAGTATATCCACTCTTAGTCTAGATTTTTACATTATATACTATATCCTTTGGACTGAAAATGAATCTGAGACCGTTTCTATTAGCCCAAACTCTCAGCGAGAACAGTCCCTAATGTCAGTCACTTCGTTTGGCTGCGTGTTCTCAATAAAAACCGTTACGGGATAGACGAACGGAAAGAAAACTTTTTATGATTGAAAAAATAATTGGTTTTCTTTCACAGCGATCATCTGTTTTTACTCTTTGTGAGCATAGCCTAAATCTCCACAGTTTTCAAAGATTTGTTTGTTTGTGCTCAGTTCCTTTTCCCAGAATGTGCTTAACGAAATGTGCATTTTTTTTTCTAGTAGCGCTCTTTACTTCTGCATTGAATGGTGCAAATTTATATGTGAGATATTAATTTTCCGTGACTAGCAATTTAACTTTTTTCTAAAGCTTCAATCTTGTTGCCATGAACGCGCACAAATTGCTTTGATTGAAATCTCACTAGATATCCATGGGGATTTAGAAAGTAATGGTTTATAGAGGAATTCTTGGTAAACTGCTATTAATAAATGTTTATTGGGTCCTCATGTCAAACAAGGTGGTTTAAAATAATGAAATGATATTTTACTTTTGAAAATGGACGATGCAAGCACTCAAAATCAAAACATCGGTTAAAAACGTCGGATAAAAATGTAAACAAATGTTTTTTGGTTTTCGTCCATAAAAACGAGAAAAAACCCTTTAACGTCTTACAAATTATTGAAACAAACATGGCACAAAATAGAGGGCAAGTAGCAACAAAGCATAAAAAGGTAGCTATCATTGCATTTTACGTAAGTCGAAAAATTTAGAAATGACTAGGAAAAGCAGAGAAAGGCAGAGGTATGTTTTTATACAACGGAATGTGAAATCTTAGCCGTGGCGAGCAGATGAGATGTTGCTGAAAGGCGACGCGATCCGGGCATACGGTACGCAAGCGACAGACTGGAACGAACGACCGATCGCATGTGTGCCCACGTGCATACGGTAGAGCAGCGGATCGGCGAATACCGGCAGACAAGCCGAACATGCCTGTAGGAACAAAAGGCTAAGAAATAATTATTTCATATTCTATACAGTTTTTATATTCGATCTCCCATTATAGATTCTACCACTTGCTGGTGTTTCTGATATATTCAACAGCTAGGATAGACGATAGACGTCATTTACCTTCAAACATATCGTCAGAGTGTTCAAATTTTAAGTATTACAGCTTTGAAAAGAAATAAAGCTTTTTCAAGAAATGTTCTCATCAAAAAAATCAAGCGTTATTAATTTTCAAATCGGTAAATAATTTAGTGTGACAAGAATTGGATAAAACTCTTAATACATATGTGCATGGAAAAAATTAGGAAGTTTTTGTGAGTTTGTTCGATTAGGGTAGAACAAACCAAAATTTCTCCTGACTTCTTCTTTCGTTCGACAAAATTCCAGAAGCGTGTATGTGAGTCTCGCTCAGCTAAAGATAGGCTAGGTCTTCTCATCTTAAGACAACTCATTCTAAGATGGCACTGGATTCTAGAAAAGAGCAAAGACGAACTTACTTGCATTTCCACTTTAACTATTTCTGTGTTTTTGATGGCTTTCTGAAAGATTGCGGATGAAAAACAGAAGATTTACGTGACTCACACTCTGCACCTATAGCTGTCGGTCTTTTTCACAAAGAAAAGCATTGGATTTGTTAACTATAAGACAACATCCAGATAAGTTGAAGAAGAAGAGGAGATCGAGATTACTTATTCAGCAAATTTCAAATGCATGAGCACGGTTTCAGTTATATATGGAAATTTTCAATCTTTTTTAAATTTTATTTTCGATGCACCTAAAAGTGCTCTACTAATTCTACTATCTACTTGGAGCGGTTAGAAAACAACGCAATGCAGTAGCATACCGTATTGTTAGTAACAGTAACTGAAGAAAGTCAACTCCCAGGCATGATTGACTGCAGACTACATCAGAGGTTAAATTACTCAAGGTCGTCAACTCCACATAACTGCAGAATATCTACTTTCTTTAGCAATGCTTTCAGTTGGGCTGACTTCACGGCTAAGAAATGGTGGCAACTTGTTCAGTAAAGAAGCTGCTCGATAAAAGAACTTGTTGGACTGTAATTGAACCATTCTGTACTGTTCAAAATGGCCTTGATGGATGCTTTATCTGCATGAGAGTAGTCACGCACATACGAATATTCAGAAATATCGCTACGACCGAGAATGATAAGGCTACTTTAAAAGAGAGAATATTGTGATCAGAATTGCACAAGGGGGAAGTATTTGAATCTTGGAAACCGTCTCATTTCTGGCAAAAATCAAATCCAATATACAGGGTGTCCCAAAAAAATGTATCGAACGTTTGATCGTTAATATCTGTCTTCCCAAGAAGCCTTTTGCCTTGCTTCAGGTACCATTTTGTAGAGCTGGCTTTAACTTAGATTTGCATTATAGAACGGACTACCCATCTCTCTTCATTACTTAAGATTACGGTAGAAACTTGAAACATATGTTGTCAATGTGGAAAAAGCTGCCGTTTCAACATTTTCCAAAAAAAATGTGAAAACTTATGTATTGGGGTTTTTATGGACACTGAGTTCAATACTCAACTATTCACAAGATTACGAAGCTTTCTGAACGGTGTAACCGCACTTTTTGGGAACATTGAAAAAATGGCTGCTACCTTTTACCTGGCATAACTCTTCAATGAAGCATCATAATAAATTGGGAACTTTACAGTTATAATCAGCAACTCTGATTAGCCTAGTGTAAAAGTTCAGGCTGTTTTGTTTCCTTTCTGGGCAAAATATGGCCTTTCATTGCTTAAAACCCTCTTTGTAGTTTCTACCATAATCCCACCGTAATGAAGAGAGATGAGTGATTCGTTCGATAATGCAAATCTAAGTTGAAGCCAGCTCTACAAAACGGTTCCTGAAGCAAGGGAAAAGACTTTTTGAGAAGAGAGATATCAATGAACAAACGTTCGATACATTTTTTTGGGACACCCTGTAGATGAACCTCTCGTGGGCTTTTTGACAAATTGCGAGAGCCCCAGATACTCGAAGAATGAAACAAAACGGGCGGAGGAGAATGATGTTGTCCTCATCTCAGACCACTCAATGTCATTCAAATTGAAATCGCCAAGAAAAATAGTATTTCTCGCAGACAAGGCAAGATTTTCTAAATTGTAAGTTCTTCGTCATGCAAGGCAAGATTTTCTAAATTGTAAGTTCTTCGTCATGAAAGGCTGTTTGACTGGGCGGTCGATAAAGGAGTACAAATCTGATGTAATCATCAACATTGGCAAGCAAATCGAAAACAAGTAGATCGGTCGACAAAGAAAGTCTCTGTTCGATATTACGAAAGACAATATCATATCGAATCAAAATACCTACTCCTCCACCCTTTTTCCTGCGATCACTATGCAAAATATTAATGGTAGATCAGCAAGAATCTCGGCATCAGTTATATGGCTATTGAACCATGACTCTGTGACAAAAACTACTGCTGATTTATGCAAATGAACAAAATGTCGGAACTCAATAAACTTATTTACTGAACTTCTAGCATTAAGTAAAAAACAGGAAATAGCGGAAAAATCCTGGCAATTAATTTTTTGATGTGATGCCTTTGTGGAAGGAATGTCTGTGGCCCTCACCACCTGTCCTCCGTAGACCACGAAGACCCTACCGCCACCGGGTTCTTTACTGTTTTGATCACGCGCCTGCTGGCGAAGGGCCCGGTCGTGATCTCTCTCTTCGCGGGTCATCGACCTGCGGATGAATATCTGATCACAACCGGGCAGCCTCCGCAGCAGGGGAGCCTTTAAGGGCACTATAATAAAATTGCTGAGATGAGAAGACACATTTGATCAACCTTGGTTTGTACCACCAGGTTTCCCCATTCGATAGACCTCAAGCAGTCTCGTCTCAATGTCCAGTTTGTCTAGGATAGACATAACTGAACTCTCATCAGTATGTCCCTGTCGTGAAATGACTCGCTATACACAATAAATTACTCCACGATACACAAGTAATTACTCCACGATACACAAGTAATTATTGAGCTGAACTCCTGTTTTGTGTTTTGTTTATTTTAGAAAGAATGCTTTGCGCGTCAGTTTCCCATCATCGCGGAAGATGATAACCGAGATAACTTCGAGGGACGTCGAGCGCAGCTGCTTCATCACTCTTGTTACTAATTATTATTACTCTTATTACTAAATATTATTATTTTACTTTACATCATAAATACTCTTGTTACTTTTTCATATTTGCATTTTTCTGTCGTTTATTCTTGTGACATCTTTTGTCAAAGTATATAAACCAGTGTTACGGTAGACTCAAATTTACTAAGTTGTTGAATACTTTTTGCATTCTTTTTCTTCCATTTTTTAAGAAACAATCATACAAAATTAGCATAAAAGTCAAGTATGAAATTCAAGTATTGAAGGAAAGGATAAACAGGTATTATAGATTTGTGTGTCTCGTGTATCCTTTTTATCAGTTTTCCTGTGTATCATTTAGCATTTTCACGCAATTTGTATTCTATTATGTGGTTTAGCCTCATTTTATTAGGTCATCCCAAAAGTTTTTTCATATTCGTACATTCAAAATGATATTTCTCTAGAACTAAGGCATCTAGAAGGGTGCAAATTTGTGGGAGTACTCTTGAGTGAATAAGCTATATAGTGACACATTTAAGAGGAACATAGACTCATTAAGGCGAAGTTTAAAAATTAAGCGCTTTATTTTTTTCTCGATTTCTAGCCGTCAGAAAAATGCAGTAAGTGTATATATAAATGTCTGATAGGGAAAATATATGCGTGAGCAAGTGGAAACTTTGCAGAATGTTTTTGAACTAAGATACGATTTTTTTCTGTTTTCTCGGAATTTTGGATTTTTTTCCATTTTGTCTCGAAACTCGATGCGGATCAAGCCCGGTACGAACTTTTAAGAGCCATATTGTAGAGCTTGCTTTACTCTTTCGAATGGCACTTCACTTCTCATCAAAAGTCCAAGAAGAGCAGACTTATGCTGGCGAAAAGTCTGATCTGAAAAAACTTTTGGGATGACCTAATATTTTGTGCTTGTTAATTTGTCGGTTTTTTTCTCTTATAACTACTTCATAAACGGTTTGATTACCCAAGTTTGAGTTGAGGTACGCAACATCAAGAGTAAGCCCGCGTGGCAGCAATCAAGTATAGTGGTCTCTTGGTATTCGAGGATTATTGTGTGAAGGATGGACAGTGGTGTCCGTAGGCCATAGGCAATGATATTGAATGTTGATCTTGACCATGTACTTTGTACCGTGGCGGCTATAAATAAGGCCGCCCGGCCGTTGTTTTAGTTGCTGTAATTGTCTGTCACTATTTGTAGTCTTCTAATAAATTCTTCTATTACTCTCTCGTTCCCCACCTGGACATCCGCCCTCGCACTAACGAACACGGTTAGTGCGTGACAATTGTTCTAATTATCTATCGAGTTTACCTCAACACAACTGGTGCATCGGTCGGCTTGGGTATTTTTACAATTCCTGCATCAGTACTGTCACAACTGGTGCATCAGCAAATTTCGGACCGGAGCAAATCAAGAGGTTGGTTACACAAGTTTAGTAACAATTTCTTGATACAACTTGGACTCTGTTCTCTTCTACTGCAGTTTCAACTCATATTTCTGTCAGACAAGTCCAAATTCAGCAATCACACTGCATTTTGACATATTAGCACGCTCTTCTGCGCAATCAAGTCAATTTGCATCTACTACTGTATTACAAGTCGGACTTACAATTGATCAACATCTTGGGAATATTAGCTCTTAATGCTAATTATCGATCGATTATATAACAAGTCATCCATTTCGCTCGCACCACTCTTATCGCGCATCAGATCTTTGTTAGTACATCAACCGCAATGACAGCGCAACTCTCGACGTACAAGCGTCTGTTATCGAAATACTGTACGAAATTAAAGACAGTGATCGCGCGATTCAAGTCCGAACAGCTAGAAACAATCAAACTTCCTGACCAAGAGACATCGCGGCACATCATAAGGGAAGTCATCGAGGACTAGAAGAAGGAATAGGGGCAATTGAAAAAACCTGCAATACCACAATACAAGAACTTCTTCAAAATTCTGCGCTAGCAATAGACAAGTGTGAATCATTGAGTGAAAAAGAAGGCGAGGATTTTGAAGAATATACAAGTAAAGGGGGAACGGTACTTTGTGCTTCTCTAGACTACATAGTTCTTCTAAAAGCTAGAACAAACGCATTCATTTCCTACACACCTACCCGATTCGTGAACACAGAAAATAATACAAGTAACGAAATCACAGAGAGCGCGATAGGGATCAAGAAAATGGAATTACCAAAATGGAATTCCGATTCCAGTCTTTCATGGAGACTTATGAGATTGGGATAACTTTTGGACACTTTTCGACACAAATGCGAACTCACAGCCCCTACCAGGGTTATACAAGTTTAATTACTTGCTCAAGGCTCTTAGAGGTGAACTTCTACAAGCGGTAAAGAAGTTCAGAATGTCACAAGACAACTGTGCCAAAGCCATAAATTTTTGTAAACTAAATATGGAGATAATGAACAGTTAGTCAGTAGGTTATATGGCAGACTAGAAAAGGTTCAGTTAACGTCACCAAGCATAAGGGATCATCGGAAACTTTTGGAGCAAATTCAAGCAATTATGGCACAATTACAAGAAAAAAACGAACATGTAGATAATCAGTGTATAATAAAACAAGTACTTTCGAAGTTTCCGATCAAACTACAAAGGAAAGTGTTGGAACGCAAGTATATACAAGCAGAAAGCACCTTTAGGATGGAAAACACTACTCAAGCTCTTAGAAGAATTCATCACAACGAAAGAAAAAGTATCATTTTTTATTAGAGAAATAACTCCTCGTCAACACCCCAAATCTCCTATGCTCCTTAGAGGAAAAGAAGAACCAAGTAAATGGATAAACAAGTGCATGTATTGTGGAGAAGATCATAAATCCATAGCATGCCTAAAGTACGCAACTCCCTATTCACGCACACAATACCTACGGGAGTACAAATTGTGCTTTATTTGTGCATCTCCCAAACACGTCACAGCGGACTGCAAAAAAAGAATGTGTTTTGAATGCCAAGGACCGCACCACACTTCGTGCTGTTTTAAAAAGGGTATGACGGGAGAGAACAAACGCAACGCATACCAAAAAGCGAAGAGACAAAACCGAAAGAATCAAGAAACCTTCGGCCGACGGAAACAAAATCATCACCAGTAACTTCAGCGAAGATTCACCAAACAAGTCAAAAAAGTGAGGATGGGGAAACGACTATTTACGAACTTCAAACATCAAAACAAGTATCAAGAACCAGTTCGACATTTCTCCCAACGGGAGAAGAAGTCATTAATCCGATTACAGCCGATTACAAGAAACTTGCACAAAATACCAGTTCTTCTAGACACAGGTGCAGGATTATCTTTTATAGATAAGAACCTGGCAGAAGATACATCTACCGACAATACAAACAACCAGACTGAGGTTGAGGACTTTCGGATCAGAGAAGCTTAACGAATGTTTAAGTCGCAAAATAGAGCTGGAAGCATGGGATGCTGAGGGCAACGGGTACCAACTACAATTACTAACCTACGACACCCTCACAAAACCTCTGAAAGCACCACCACTTCTGGAAGAAGACATACAATTTGTGCAATCGCTTAACCTCAATATTAATATTGCAGCTATTCCAGATAGCAAGCCGCTAATCCTACTAGGATGCGATCAACTGTGGCAGCTAATAAAAGAAGGTTCACATCACATTAGGTTACCTTTTGGTCTCCATCTCTTGCCTACAAAACTAGGCATCTTCTCACAGGACAAGTACATATAGACGAACAAACTATGAAAGTAATGGAACATACTGAGGAATTAGACATATGGGACGAGTACTGGTCCCTAGAGTCACAAGTCAATGGAATCGTCGAAGAGATCAAAGAAGAGAAGGACAGAGTACAGAAAAAGGGTAAGAATACATTTAAACTCAAAAGACAAATTACAAAAGCTAGGCCACATGTTTCAACGCAAGCAAAATCCAACAACCTCATATGCAGTACTGTTGACGACTGGAAGGAGCTCGAGTACCTAATTGAAGTAATCGCATCCAATAAGACTATGACAAGATCACAACTTCGAAGACAACTACAAAAAACAAGAGAAGAGTTACAACAACAGGTCAAAACCATCACAACGATCAATCAAAAGTGGATGGATGTCAAAAAGCAATCACAAACACTTACGCAACAGATAATCACAACAGGAGGTCTCTTACGCGCGGCGGGAGCAGCGAGTGACTGCTATCTAAAGCTTTGCACTCGCTATGTTCTTCTCGTCAAATGGCTCGAAAGTTATATCAAGAATGGCTCAATGAACGGTTCCTGAGCGAGACACGGTTTCAGAAAAAGCAGATGCCCGCGCTCACCAAAAAGTTGGAGAAAGAGGCAAAAACTGCCGAAAATCTTCATGAAAAGCGGCTCGGCAAAAATCGGCAACTACACTCATACGATGGCAAGTTAAGTCGGCGACAACAAAGGCTGAGAAGTATGCACGAGATGCTTTTCAAAATCAAAGCCAAAACTGCCCAATCGGAAGCTAGTCTCAGTGATCTCAGTGACGAAATCTTCATTCAATCCGGCGAGTAAAAAGAGTTGCAGATTACAGGCAAAACAAAACTCGATGACCAGCGGGAATCCGAACTCTTCGAGAACGAGATGCCGTTAGGGGTGCTCGATAAGAAAGCTAGACAGCACACAGGGCTAGAAGAGCCACACCAAAAAGAAGGACACGACGAAGAAGACTCACACTACAAGTCAACCCAACGACAACAGCTTAGTGAGGAGAATAACAAACTAGAGAAAGCTCTACGTATTCCGCCTCATCGACGATTGGAGGATGTAAAG